TTGTAAAAACGAACAAAAAAAGCGAATAATATACTCATGCTGTATGTTTCTTCATAAGCATTCCGAACTTAATAAAAAAGACATTAAGTCGCAGTTCAAAAATCAGGAAACGTAACCACCTCAGTCTCATATAAAATTTCCAGGATTTCTTCTCGGGAAACGGTAGGACTGTTTTCTGCTTCCTGACAAAGTACTTCGACTTTTCGAACCTTGTCATAATAAAAATCTCTTTGTTTGGTAAGTTCTATTAGGTCTTCTTTTAACTGCTGAATCTGAAAATATCTGTTCCAAAGAAAACTAAAATTTTTGACCAGATCGAAACTAGGAATATTTACGAACAAAATACGCAATAACTGAAGAAGATAAAAGTGATCTAACATCATGTATCGTAAGTCTGTTTCAGCAGGCGTATAATCTAGTTCACGTTTAATTTATATTCGCATTGGAGACACAGAATATTCTGTTCTAAGCCATCAACTGATAAGTAAAATGAAAAATTGACAGAACTTACTGTGAACTCGTACTCCCGCTGCAAAGTTACTGTGTTTGGGACGGAACTTTTTCCAGCTGCAATGTTTCGACTAGCGCTACATGGATTTTCTGAAAACAGTCACTGAAATTTTCAACAAAAATGAATCGAAAAAAATTAAGAAATAAATGAGAATCTACACTACAGCACAAGAGTAGTCAGCAATGCTAAGTTCAAAATGCGATAAGTCAAAAATTACTTCTCGCCGTTATGGTGACAGGATTACTTCTGGCAACTACAGGAGCTTTTGATGCAACCGATCTGGATGATACAGTCCAACTTGCCGGAAGTGGCTGAAAATATAACATCCACAAATAGCGCAAATATGTGAGAACTACACATATAGCAATCGATGTTCATAATAACACCGCCACTTTAGGAAATATCCGGAAAAAATATCCAGATGACAAACCTCGCCATTTCTAGCCCGCAGTGCATCATACTGGTGGCCATCATAATTTGCGTCAAAAAATTTTTTAAACCACTGCAAAAATTCGAAATTGTCCTGGAATTTAGACCGTAGCAAACGTTCAACTGGTACTCCCTAAATTCATTAAGCTGTCTCATATCTGGATATGCAATAATAATCCAACAATGCAGAAGAACAAAGTACATTGCAAGTGTATTCTTTTTATGGATAACTCCGTAATTAAATAGAAATATTCCATTGTTACAAAGAAAAGATGGAAAAATGTTGGAATATAAAGAATGTTAGAAATCAAATAATATATTAAATGAATTAAGAGAACCACGTTTCATTTGAATCTTACAATATTAAAATGTGGGTAAAAAATGATAGACTTATATATAAACATCTCTAAGCCACTCTTATATCTTAGTTTGGATTAAGAATCTATTAATACGACTTTAAAATCCTGTTTCAGCGTGCTTGGTAGACGACGTGAAATGTTAGTGACAATCTTTTACTTTTTGTTCTAATTTTTTTTTGCTTCATTTTTCTTGTTCTTCCCATTACTTAATTCCTTCTGCTTTAACCTACCTTCTTTACTCCGAGATCTTTCCAGGCTGTTTGCAGTAAACGCCAATTAGCAATCCAATCAATTTCATTCCGTGAATTCCATTTCACTTTTTTCAAAGAGATTTTTCCTGGGAAGAGAAGTTCAGTCAATTGACAATAAGCAGCACCAGAACCCATCTCCTCAATACGTGTAAAATTGGACTGCAAAGAAAAAACATTGAGAATCTAAAAACAACTAGTCATGTAAACCAACTGCAATTCTACACATAGAGCTATCAAATAAATCTCCTTGAAAGCAATTTATGCACTTTCACCAATCTTTCCAGAATTTCTTTCTTCAATTTCATAATGTTCCAATCAAATTTCCAAAAGCGCAGCACATGTTTGCATGAATATGTAACTTTACGGTCCAGTGTTAGACCTTCACGAACAGCATATTATCAACGTCTCATTCACTGCCAAATACGACTACTTATCTGCCAAAGAGATTCCCAATTAATCCGATTGAAGCTGCTGCTCATTAAGCTGTCAATAATTCGTTAATTATATAATAAATCCCAACAATATAAATCAAAAATGTTCAAAATTTTCGGCAAAGATAATCATACCCGCAAGAAATTATTGACAAACGCTAAAAGCTCATTTCGCGAACATTGTTCAAATGTTGCTGATGTCGAATACACATTTACTACCATTGGAACGACTAAAAAATATGTAATTGTATTAGAAACAATAAACTACTGTGAAACTGACAGGACGGTATGAATTAAGAAAATATTTCAATTTTTTGGCTAAGTCTAGTTAGGTGAAATAAAACTCAGAGCAACGGATTGGTAAAAAGAAAGACAATTTCAGCAAAGAGATTCAAGAATCAATTTCAATGTCTGACCTTCAAAACCGAGTATGAAATGAAAGTTCAGTCCAGCTCCTTTATAAAGTTGAAAACTCAAGCGCAAATTCAAATCAACCGTGTACAACCGCTAATCCTTTTAAAACTAATTGACAAGTGACAAAACTAACCAATAAATACACCGCATTTCAAATTAAAAGAGTAAATGAACAAGTTATTTACAATGATAATTAAAATGACCAATTTGCGGCCGGCCGTACTCTCGCAAAGCGCCATTCGGGACATTTCGAATTTTTTCTCTCTATCTTATTCAACTTGTTTATTAAATTAGTTTCCGTATAAAAATTTGCGACAGGTTTCGCTCTCTGCTGCTTTCGCATATTTTTTTACTACGAAAATCGTAAGTTTGTAACCAGCTGAAAAATACGTTATCTGATGTTATAATTGATGTTAATCTCACGCTATGATTGATGTTATTAATGTTAATCTTCACATTGAACGTAATAT